CTGTGAAACAGGAAAAGTTAATGTAAATCTAACATGTGATGTGACTGTGATTTGAAACAGTAAATGTTCGATTCTGATTTTTAATCATTTCTCAGTATGATTAAGTATTAATAAAATAAAAATTGTGTATGATTGTAAGCTTAATTTGTCTGATCTTTTTTGTATGTGTTTATATGCACTTAGACTCCTAGTAATCTATGTACTAAAGTACTTTGTACTTTTATATTTATGTTGGTTGTAGTCCCCATAGCTGTGATAATATTTAATTTGAAATGAATATTTAAGGCAGGCGTATTTTTTATACAGGCGTATTTATTTTACGGGCGTATTTTTTTTTACGGGTATGTTTGAAATCTAGGTGTAATTCTATTGTTAAAATTTCCAGGCGTATTTTGAATTTCCAGGCGTACTCATTTACATATTTCGGCTAAAAATACGGTAGGATTACGCCTCTTGTACGCCCGTATTTCACTTTATACGCCTGCTTTTATGTATTCATTTTAATGGAGAATCCACCAGGATTTTAAGATTATAATACGCCTGGATATTTTTTGAAAATACGTGACTAAAATTTCGTACGGGTGATCTAATTGAGTCTTCTGAACCATCCATTAATAAAACTGTATCATCAGCATATTGTAGTAGTTTATATTCTTTATCTTCAATAACAATGCCCTTTATTAATTTATTATTTCTAATCATAATTCCCATTATTTCTGCACATAGTAGGAACAAGTAAGGTGAAATTGGGTCACCTTGCCTACAACCTCGTCCCATTTGGAAAAATTCAGAAAAAATACCATTTTGAATAACACATAACTTAGGTTCTCTAAACAAAATCTTTATCCATTTTAAAAAATTCTCACCAAAATTAAAAAATCTGAGTACTTTAAAAATAAATCTCCAAGAAATAGAGTCAAATGCTTTCTCAAAGTCAATCAATAAAACAAGACCTGAATGATCATTCTCTTTACAATAATGTATGATGTCATATAATAACCTTGAGTTTTCACCAATATATCTACCAGCAAGAAACCCTTTTTGATTTTCATGTATTACTTTTGACAGAATTGGTTTCATTCGATTTGCTAAGACACTAGATAAGAGTTTATATGTAATGTTCAATAATGTAATTGGTCGCCAATTTTTTAATTGTTCCCTTGGCTTATTGCCTTTTGGTAGAATAGAAATAATTCCAAGCATCTGAGTATAGGATAATTGACCTACTTCATAGCTGTAATTAAAGGATTTGAGAATATATGAATTAATATCTGTCCAAAAAAACTTGAAAAATTCTGCTGTAAAACCGTCAGTTCCAGGTGTTTTGTCGTTCTTAAAATTTTTAAGAGCTTGAAGTATTTCTTGTTTTGTAATTTCAGCATTTAAAATGTTTTTCATATCATTATTTATTTTAGGAACCTCAAAGTTTTGGAATAAGTCTTCAAGATTTACATCATCAAGCTCCTGATCTTTGTTTTCATATAATTTTTTGTAAAAGTTCCTTACTTCTTCTAAGATATCTGCTTGCTTATTTACATATTTACCATCATTATTGATTAAATTGCTAATATTTTTATTGACATAATTTCTTTTTTCTAAGGCACAAAAATATTTTGTAGGTTTCTCCCCATCTTCTATCCATTTACAATGACTTCTTAACAATAGCCCCTTCAATTCATATTTTCTAATTTCCTCTAATTCTGTCTCAAGGTCACTTATCATATCTAGATAAATTGACAAAGGGTAATTATTATACATATCATGTAAAATTCTAAGTTGATTTCCAATCTTTGCTTTGTGATCCCTCCTTTCTCGGGTCAAATTTGCAGATAATTGTATTGCCATATCCCTTATTTTCATTAATAGAACATCAAGAAAAAGATTATCTGGTATTCCTAACATTGATTCATCAATACGATATTCATTATCCGTTTCCCTTATAATTTTTTTAACATTTGTCACAAATTCTTTGTTTCTCAATAAGGAATTGTTAAAACGCCAGAATCCCTTTCCACGTTTAAATTCATTAATAGTAATATCTAATTCTATGATAGAGTGATCAGTCCTATAGCCTGGCATCATGTGAACATCATTTATAATTGATAAGAGTTCCTCTGATACTAAAAAAAAGTCAAGTCTAGCCTGTTTTACTGGGTTCTTCCTACTCCATGTATATTTTTTAGCATCTGGGTTTTTGATTCTCCAAGGATCTACTAAATTGAATTTTGATTTTAATTTTTCAATTTCAAGTTTATTTTTGGGATTGTTTTCTCTAACATAATTGTAACAGTCTAACTGGTAATCTTGTACTACATTCCAGTCTCCACACATAATTATAAAGTCAGTATCAAAAAAATCATCCATTTTATCACTTATTTCTGCATAAAATTTAGGATTATCTTTATTGTGACCATATAAATTAACCAAAGTGATTGAGTACTTGTTATCCACCATTATATTTGATATAATGAAATTCCCCTCATTATCACTATAAACTTTAGAAATTTTTATTTCATTTGTGTTATTAAAAAGGGTTAAAGTCCCTCTTGCATCTGATTTTCCTGAGCTGATGAGTATGTCATTACCCCATTGGGCATAAACTGAATTTTTCTCTAATTCTGTACAGTGGGTGTCTTGTAAACAATAAATAGATGATTTAAAATTTCTTAAATAGTTTAGGACATCCTTTCTTTTCATAGAATCATGTAAACCTCTGCAGTTTACAGAAGTAATTTTTAACTTAGTCATAGATTACACTACACAGTTGAATAAAGGCAAAAAAATATGCATGTTGCATACTCTCCATTCTTTCACACATATATCAAAAATGAAAAATACTTCCTGTATGGTAACAAAACAAATCAAGAAAATTCATGTATTACATCGCATTGGGTCTTTTTAATTTAACTTAGCCACCTAAATAAGATAGTGAACCGTAGTTCTCTCATAGAAAAAATAATAATAAATACAAGCTCCTCTATGAACTTCTACGTAATTAAGAAAACTATCTGCAATGCCTCGTATCAAATATTAATGTTCACTTAGGAAAACAGAAAAAACGACCCTCTGCTCCTTCTCACTTCACGCCATTTGCGCAGCCACACCGGAAGTCCCTTGACTCCTTTCTTTATTCAAGGTAAAATTGAGAAAAACACCTCCAAACCATAACTTAAGAACCTTTTGACATTAAAACTTCAATCTTGGAACATGAAGAGGTAGTATGGAGAAAGGGTGCATGCAAACAACATTTTTTACCTTGTTTTTATATATGAATATGGCCGGTGGATATAGTGTTTCTCATGTCCGTCTTCCGTCCTTTCATCCTTCTGTCTGTCTTTCAGTCACGCTTTGCATTTAGCTCTGTTCAAAGCTCAGTTTCAAAGAAACTATCGAAGATATTTTTATCAAACTTCATATGCTGATAGATATTGATGAGAGCTATGTAACTGCATCAACATTTTATGACCTTGACCTTTCCTTTGACCTTGACTTCACTTTTCTTAAATTGGTGTTTAGCTCAGTTTTAATGAAATCATTCAAGATATTTTAATCTAACTTCATGTGCTGATACATACTAATGAGAGCTATTCAACTGTATCAATATTTTTTTACCTTGACCTTTCCTCTGACCCTGACCCCACTTTTCTTAAATTTGTGTCAAAATTCATATGCTGATACATACTGATGTAAGCTATTCAACTGCATCAATATTTTTTGCCCGTGAACTTTCCTATGACCTTTACTTCATTTATTTTAAATTTGTGTTTAGCTCAGTTTTAAATAAACCATTCAAAATATTTTTATCAAACTTAATATGATGATACATATTTGTGAGAACTATTCAACTGCATCAGAAATGTTTGACTTTTAACTTTCCTATGACCTTGACCTCACTTTTCTTAAATTTGCATTTTGCTTAATTTTTAAGAAACCATTTTAGATATATTTATGTAAGCTTATGCACTCATACATAATTTGGTGAGAGTTTATCATCTATATCCAACTTTTTAAATTTCAATGTTAAAGAAACTATTCAAGATATTCTCATCAAATTTCATACACTAATACAAATTTTCATGTTGCATTACTATGGACATATTTCTAGTTGTATGAGAAACGTTTTTAGACCCCCATATGACCCAAGGGTGAAAATGAAAATTCCGAAACCTTACTGTACATCTACAGGACACCACCAACCATCTCCCAAAAGACGTTTAGGCTACTGGGTAAAATGTAAGAGGAGTTCAGTGAACCAGGGGCTTTTTGCATTAAAAACGTCATTTTTCGACACCCATTTGACCCCAAGGGTGAAAATGAAAATTCCGAAACCTTACTGTACATCTATAGGACACCACCAACCATCTCCCAAAAGAAGTTTAGGCTACTGGGTAAAATGTAAGAGGAGTTCAGTGAACCAGGGGCTTTTTGCATAAAAAAACGTCATTTTTCGACACCCATTTGACCCCCAGGGTGAAAATGAAAATTCCGAAACCTTACTGCACATCTACATGACACCACCAAATATCTCCCAAAGGATGATTAGACTTCTGGTTAAAATGTAAGTGGAGTTCAGGGAACCAGGGGCTTTTTGCATAAAAACCGTCATTTTTCGACCCCCATTTGACCCCAAGGCTGAAATTGAAAATTCCGAAACCCTCCTGCACATCTACATGACACCACCAAACATCTCCCAAAAGATGATTAGAATACTTGATAAAATATTAGAGAAGTTTGAGAAAGAAGAGTGTGACAGAAGGACGGAGGGACAGACGGACAGACAGACGAGTAACAACAATATACCCGAACTTTCTTTAGAAAGTGCGGGTATAAAAAGGTCTGTTTTTGTGGAAATTAAAGAAAAATTTATGCATGTTTTTAGCTGCAGACTTATTTACAAGCGAATAAAAATCTATTTGCTTAAAGTACAGGGAAAACAAAAAGAGAAGGGGTTAAACAAATGGCATTCATTTCCATTTGCAGTTAAATCTTCAAGCCAACATCACTTTAAACTTAGACTTGATAAAAAAAACCTAAATCAGAGTATTCCTGAGTATCATTCAGAGAGTGCAGCTGATGTTGGGGAAACGCAGGAAAAGATGGAACCGGTTGATGATGAGGACAATAAGTTTGAAGCATCAAACATTGGAGGAATATCACATGATGATACCAACATTAAAACTACCTCATCCTATGAACCACAAGGGGCCACATCAACAGAAAATGTAGTGGAAGTAAGAAAGGAAAGCAAAGATATTCCTTATAGTTCGGAAATTTCTGGAAATTTGCAGATAGAGGTAAAAAACATTTCAGAAGATCCAGATAAAAAAATTACTATGACTGACTTTGCGGGACAGTGTGCCTATTATGCCTCACACCAGATTTTTCTGAGTCCCCGGGCATTCTTTATTCTGGTGCTCAATATGGAGAAGAAGTTTGATGATAAAGTTGGAGAAGAAGTATGTTGTCAGGAAGGCTCCATTTACAGGGGATGGACAAATAGAGGTAATATTTTAATTATGACAAGTATAATTATAATTATATCCCATCCTAAGACAACTTATTATTGCATGGCACTCATGTCAGTCCGTACGTCTTTCTGTATCTTAGCTTTTTAGCTCACTTGACCTGAAAGCCCAAGTGACCTATTCTGATCACTTGTTTTCAGTCCTCTGTCTGTCCATCCGTCTGTCTAGCTGTCTCTCTGTCTGTCTGTCCATCTATCTGTAAACTTTTCACACTTTCAATTTCTTCTGAAGAACCACTAAGGACATTTGAACCAAATATGGCACAAAGTATTCCTTGGGTAAAGGGGATACTAAATTGTCCAATCGAAGGGACAAGCACCTTTCCAAGGAGAGACAATTAAGAAAAGGCAAAAATTGAGTGTGGTAATTAAAAAATCTTCTTCTCAAGAAGATGGCCAGAAAAGCTGAAACTTATATGGAAGCTTTCCTGGGTAGTGTAGATTCAAAATTGTAAAAATCATGCACCCGTAGGGAAAGGCCACAATAGAAAATCAAACTTTCACATTGAAATATAAAGGAAAAATCTTTAGAAATTTCTACTGAAGAACCACAGTATCAGAAAAGCTAAAACTTATGTGGAAGCTTCTTGAGGTAGTGTAGATCCTAAATTGTCAAAACCATGGTCCTCGGAGTAGGGTGAGGCCACAGTAGAGAATCAAGGTTTTACACTTAAATATGTAGGAAAAATCTATAAAACAACTCTTCTCAAGAACAGCAAAACCGTGATGAATCATATTTATGTTGAAACATCTTTTGGTAGTGTAAATTCATTTTTTTTTCACACCACAGCCCCTTTGAATTGGATGGGGCAACAAAAGGCAATCAACATTTAATCTCCCTCTTTCTCTCTAATCTAATCTAATCTAACCTAATCTAGATAGACAGATAGATAGATAAATAGTTCTAATCTAATCTAATCTAGATAGATAGATAGATAGATTGATTTTATTATTTGTGTCGTTTGTCAAATTTAGTGCTTTATATGAATATCCATCCTGATCTTCTACCTTGACGCATAAGGTATACAGAGTTCTTTTTGTTTTTAGTCCTTTCAATATTTATATAGATAATATTGCACAATTGTGTTGTATGACATAACCCAATCATTTAAGCAAAAAATACTCTGAAAAGAGAGAAAGGTGTATGTTAAGAACTATGCCCGCTAACTCTTGATTCCTGCCTTAATTTTACACCCAATTAACAATATATTAATGTCAATTTGTCAATTAGACTTATTTTAGTGCAAAAATGAATTAAATCATAATTGATTAATAATTTTAAAATCAGAGAAATATGGAGATAACGAACAGTAACCAAGCTTAAAAGTCCATTAAAATGATATAAATTGGGAACAGAGGAAACGCAAACCACTAAAACATCAGGGGTGGGATCAGGTGCCATGGAGTAGGCATTCCCTGTCACCTGCCGTGTGATCCTTGTCATGATCAGGTAAAGGAAAATATCTGTAGACAATTCAGAGTGAAAATAATGGCCAAATCATTCTTTGAATATTATTAGTCAACATTGAACTTAACAATTGATTGTACTTGCTGACGTATCGTATCGTCATTGTATCGACCTTAGAATCTGCAAAATTTTAACTTGAAATGAGATTATTGATATCCTTGTGTCATCAACTTCTTTGTCAATAGTATGCCTCATTTTAAAAATTGTTCGTATACGTACACATGATATGAACATGAATCAACTTGGAGAGATAAACTCCATATGCAGGTGAAATTGTATATTGCTACATAAATATCCAAATAAGAAACAGATTTGTCCAACTCTGTGGGGTCTTTTACATCAACTGCATGAAGGAGTAAATGTGATAAAAAGTCATAAATTCTAATTATTCACATACCGGTAAATATCTGTTTGGTAAAAAAGAAGCATTATTAATGAAAGAAATTGCAAAAGTAGATTTTGAAATGAAGGAATCAACACCTTACCCAAAAGTACGATTTACTGCAATCTATCTACTGTAAAAGAAAATCGTACTTCTTTACTCTTACATCTATTTCTTTTTATTCAGATTATCTTGAATTTTGGATGAAGTCCATTCATCAATACAGCAGTGATAAGGCTCCTGTGATCCTGGTTGGTACACACAGTGAGAACAAAACAGATGAGGTACCGTTCTTAAATAAACATGTCTTTTTACTTAAAATCATTCATTAATTATGCTCCCCTTCGAAGAAGAGAGGGCATATTGCTCTGCTGCTGTCTATCAGTCGGTCGGTCTGTCTGTCGGTCCACCAACAGTTTCCATTCATTTTCTTCGCAAAGGTTGCACATTCTGAAATGAAATTTGGTATACAAATTTATCATAAGAATATCTAGGTCAGGTTTTGTTTTCGGAATGATCTAGCAATTGTTGACAGAGTTATCAGGGTTAGAAACTCCCTAAAATTACAACTCGCAAATAATTGCGATTACCAAGAAAGTGAACTCGCAATTTTATAAGACTACTCGCAATTTTCATATAAAGTTAAATTTATATAAATTATATACATGTAACTTAAGGAAAAAGTAACTACTATACAATACACAAAATACAACTACGGTGTGACTTTTAGTTAAATTACCGATTTAAATCAAAAGCATTGTGTTCTGTCATATTATATAATCTTGCTACAGTTTCAATGCAAAATAAAATCAACTCGCAAGTTTTTGCGAGTTACCTAATTTTTAACTCGCAATTTGGGAATTCTAACTCGCATTTTGCGAGTTGTATATAGTGAATTTCGAACCCTGGTTATGCCCCTTTCACTTAGAAATAGAAAAATTCCAATTATTTGCAGTTTCCATTCATTTTCTTTGCAGAGGTTGCCGGGGGTGGGGGGGGGGGAGGGGGATAAGTGTTTCACAAACATCTCTTGTTAATAATGTATTCAAAAATATACCATGATATCAATTATTAAAACATAATGTTCTCTTTGTTAGTTATTGAAACCCAAATCCAGTATATTACAAAAAAAAAAAAAAAAAAAAAAAAATCTGAAAGCATCTGTTCAGTAGATTGCAAATTTCCTCCATAGAAAATTGAAATAAATACTTTGTTTTATTTGATTACTTATTTAATAAACTTGTTTTATATGAAGTTTTGCCTCACAGAGGAAAAAATTAATATGTGTACTCCCGTATGAAATTCAGAGGCGTATTACGCCTGGACTTTTTGCAAATCCTGGCGTACAAGAGACGTATTCTTAAAAATACGGTTCATTTTCAGGCGTACACGTATTTTTGCCAGAAATACGTCTCCTTTTCTCCTGGCGTAAATTCTTAATCCAGGCGTATTTTTTTCTTAGTCTCTTTCGCACAGGGAAATAAAAACTTAGAAAATTTCAAAAGGCGTATTTTTGGAAATCCTGGTGGATTTTCTGACTTAGTCCTTATTATTAAGAGAGCTAGATAAAAATTTTACTTAGACAACAATCATTCTCCTTTATGTAACTATTGAGTTGCTTTTGTGATACATGTATTAAAATTAACCCCCCAAAAAGTATTTACTCCACATGTAAACATTGATTACATTACAATATTGCCTTTGTTGTATTCATCGTATTTATTAAAGCAATTAATTTGAGTAAATTATACTAATTTAATCTTAGATTACTGTGCCATTGATTCCCAAATAAAAAAAAATGTTTAATATTATTTCTCTAAATAACTCAAATGATTTTATTTCTAACAAACTTAGTATATCCTTTCATGAATGTTTTAGTGGCTTAATAAAAAATAGCATTTAATTAAATGAATATTTAAGTCCTTAGTTTTAACAAAGCACTATAGCTGATGCTAAAAATAATTTTTCAATCAGTAATTGCATGATCAATGTCTCTATAATAAAACAAAATATAGATGGTATATTCAGATAATATTACATTACCATCTACTTTCTCTTCCCTAGTCTAACCAGTTGGGATTAGGCTAATTACTTACAGATGTGTTGAGCATGTTTAGGAACGACTTATCTGTAATGTTGTAAACCTTTCTAAGAACGGCTTATCAGTTTATATCCGGTTTCTCTAGAGCAGTTCTATTATCCACCCTAATCTTTAAAATAAAAGTACAATTCATATAGAGAAAACATCTTGTGTAAACATAAATGAATTTTTGTTATTGTATTCTTTAACAATACAGAATTCTTTTTTCCTCAAATTTACATAATGTACTGATTAGATCTCTCAGAAATGATAAAACCGTTTAGGTAACAAGGGGGTTATAAACAACAGCATTATTTACGTCCAAGTATTTGCGCCAATTTTAAACCACCAGGAAGGTCATGCCAGGAACAAAGAGATTGGAGAAAGCGGCAACGAAGCACAGATGGTGAAGAAGAGGTGTTTATTTTGAAATACATTGCATAACATTGGATTTTTTTACCTAAAACAATAAGACAGATGCATTTGCTTGATTTGCAGAGCCAGATGTTCATGATTGAAATGGGTCAGTATGACATTGAGTATGTTCTTATGTTTTTCTTTTTCCAGATCATAATCCATAGGATAAATCAGTTGGGCGATCTATTGAATGATGAAATAGTCCATAAATACTTGAATTTAAGTGAAGAAAAAATCTTGCAAGAATCAAATGACCAGAATTGCAGCATTTTCCATAGATGCATGCCAATGAACTGCAGCTGTTGAGTAGAGCATCAGGAATAAAGTGTATTTTCAATGCCAGGAGTTATAAAACATGAAAAACATCTTTTTGTGAATATTTCTAGGAAAATGTGATTGGAGAATATAATAAGAAATGTGAATGACAAAATTGCTTGTGAATTGCATCTTTTGTGTTAAATAAGGAGTACAGAGAATGGCAGGATTAATTGGCATGATTCTCAATAAAGTGATTTCACTGTGATTATTGGAATGTTGCAACTGCTGACTAAAACTAATATGTCAATCTTGTAGGTTAAAATACTGTGAAACAGGAAAAGTTAATGTAAATCTAACGTGATGTGACTGTGATTTGAAACAGTAAATGTTCGATTCTGATTTTTAGTCATTTCTCATTCACATTTAAGCACACTGAAAAGTATTAATAAAATAAAACTTTTATCTTTATGTTGGTTGTAGTCCCCATAGCTGTGATAATATTTAATTTGAAATGAATATTTAAGGCAGGCGTATTTTTTATACAGGCGTATTCATTTTACGGGTGTATTTATTTTACGGGCGTATTTTTTTTTTACGGGTATGCTTGATATCTAGGCGTAATTCTATTGTTAAAATTTCCAGGCGTATTTTGAATTTCCAGGCGTACTCATTTACATATTTCGGCTAAAAATACGGTAGGATTACGCCTCTTGTACGCCTGTATTTCACTTTATACGCCTGCTTTTATGTATTCATTTTAATGGAGAATTCACCAGGATTTTAAGATTATAATACGCCTGGATATTTTTTGAAAATACGTGACTAAAATTTCGTACGGGCATGTATGGGAGGGAATGTTGTGGGTTATTGGTCTCATGGATATATTTTAAAATAAAGCACCGAATCTCTAATTATGTCAGCCTGGACGAAGTCAGGGAGACATATTGCTATTGTTCAACCAATAACGCTGTCCGCACAATTTCTCAAAGATGGCTCTGTCAATCTTGATGAAACTCTACTGTCATAATGATCACTAATTAAAGATGTGGAATCTTTATTCAAAATTTTCAAAATGGCCACTGTTGCCATGGAAACTGATAAAAAGTGGTATTTTTTTTAATTTCATCTTTCTCCGCTGCATTTAATGAAATATTTTTGAAACTTTAGAAAAGTATTCCTTGCCTCCTGTCAAATATAGGCCAAAAAAAATTGGAAAAGGATGGACGAAAAATACGATTAATTGAAGAAAACTTGATGTCACGTGATCGTTTTGGTGTTAAATTGCTAGTGATTCTGTCCTGCAAGTTTCTCCAAAATGGCCTGGACAAACTTCCTGAAACTTTATAGAAATGATAATCACCACATGTAGTTGTGCTAAAGTCCTTTTAAATTCTCAAATTTGTCACTATTGCCATGGCAACAGACACAAAGTCATATATTTTAAATTTCGTTTTTTCTGTATATACTAATTTTTCATAAAATCTGTCTTGTAACTTCGTTGAGTTGTTAGTCGCATCCTATCAAAGTGATTCCTGCAAAATAATGGAACAGAATCAACAAAGAACGAATAATTTAAAAAAAAGTCTAGTCATCTATTCTGTGATGTTTCCACACATGATTTTGTCCTTGAATGTTCTCGTAACAGGTTTTGACAATCCTATTGAAACCTTCCACAGAAATAACAAGAAAACATTGATGTAACCATCAATTGTCGCCCGGGAAATAAATAAAGTAAACAATGGAAATGAGTCTTGATCATCAAACCGCTTCGATATGTGTGAAAAAGGCATGCGTCTAAATGATGGAGACGATAGTCAAGAATATTTTGAAAACTTATGGTCGGATGAAAATCGAATAAAAACAATACCCTTTAAACTTTATCAATTCCTCAAGTAAATGTTGGCTGCATAAAATATAAATTGAAACCAGACACATGCATCACCTATTTTCAAAAATGTCTTTCACTTTAAGAATATAAAATACGAACTGTGTAAAGTACGTTTTTACGTTTTTATGCGAAAAGTAAAATTCGATGTTCTAAAAAAGGGGACCTGCTGTTTTTTCGATAGTAAATGATAAGCAACTCTATATATTAAATATGATAAACATATATATTTTTACAGATTCACTTTATGGAAGTAAATATATTGTGTATCCCGTAATTTATAAAGGGAAAGAACATTCTGATTAACAATCTTTTTAATGTTTAGAAAACCTTTAATTCTGAATAACTTCTCCCACCTCAATCCCCATATACCAACACTTAAACTTATATATATAGAGCAGCCCGGTCCTCCGGGCTGCAATAATCACTATTGAATTCGTAGTTTTGCAAATCTCATTTAAAATTTTCTCCAACGTTGGCATTAGAATAGAAAAAATAATTTAAGTGCAGTTTCCTGAAACGAGTGGCCAAAAAACGTTGTGTAAACGTTTATGTTTCATCTTTTTAAAGTTGTGATTTATTCAATTTCTTTGTCTTCCCAATTTCTTTTTCCATAATAATCCTAGGGTACATAAAGGCCCTTTTGAAGCTTTTATATATTATCAATTTCTTGATATGATTAAGAAGAAATTAAATATCTTAGTATTTCCAAAAAAAAAAAACAAAAAAAAAACGTAGGACCAACGTTTTTCGTTAATTAAAAGGATTGTTTATATATATGTTATGTGCACATTTTTATTTCCTTTTTTGAAATAAAGAAGACAACGTAATAATTTTCCATCCACCTTTCCTCTCTCTCTTATGTCTTGGATTATAAATAAAATGACCTTGACCTTCATATCACAAAAGAACATCATAAAGTTTTCAAAATGCTATGGCTTCATACTTACTACAAAATGATATTTAATTAACATGTCTCTTTTCAAGACACCCCCCCCCCCCCCCACACACACACACACCCACCCACCCGAAACAGCGAGGTAAATACACAAGATAAAAAAAATTACAACTGATAGGCAGATCTTATTAGTTTCATTAATAAAATTCAGTTCCGCTGATGTGATCTGATATTTTGTCAGCATTCATTCTTCCTCTGTTTTGTCAATAGAAATTATAATTATTATATTTAAAATAATTTTTTCTTTAAAAAGTAGCGATTGTCAGCTGTATTCATTAGCATTTCGCGTTTCTGGTGAATGTATTACTTGCATATGAATAATTTCATTCAACGATATTGAGAATTATTTCAATTTAATTTCCATCGTTTTTATTCATTGAAAATCCTGGGATCCCCTCCCGCAGTTCCGTGAAAACCTCATCACAAATGTACCCAAAAGATTTAGCACACCGGAAGTGTTCATGATTCTGCTAAGCTAAGAAAGTTTACACATGATTTATCATCTCATAAAAAATAGCAGCCCTCGTCCAATGCAGAAATGCCCGATTTGAAGATGAAAATTCTGGAATTATTTTGCTTTAGATAGTTTTGACGTGAACCTTGCTTTACTTTCAGTTCCCGTAACTTTTGTTCGACCAAAGCTAGCAAGTGTAACGTCTTTCGTTTGTTTTTGAAAGGAGTTGGGATGGGGGGCTTTTTCTACGATTACTCATCTCTTTAAGGATTGAAGAATCTTACAGCTTATGGTTCAGTTCGGTGTGACCTACACTATTGCTTGCAATGGCAGACTTTCTAGTTTGATTTTTTCTTGTTTTTGAATAATTCAAGTACATTTTATAGATTTATTGTTTTACAACATATTTAACTTTTTCATGGATTTTTGCTCTGTAAATGTATATTATACTATGTACATGTATATGCAATGTTGTGTTTCATGAGGTCTGTGTGAACAGACAGTAAGAACACATTTCATGAGTAGGAACATTATTTAACTGTCACTGCTTTGTTTGCATGGAATAAAAGAAGGATTTTTTTTTACAGGAAAAAGAATTGTTTTTCCGTGAAGTATGGAAGATTCTAGACATGAAGAAGAAGTCTTTGCACAAACATATTGATGTGAAGCGGCGATTTGCAGTTGGATTCCATGACAATGAAAGCATTGAAAAACTCAAGCTGTCCATTGCTGATGTCGTGTGGGGTGAAGAGCTTCCACAGTCATGGGCTATGTTTGAAGCATTCTTTCGGGAAAAGAAAATCCGCAAGATTTTGAGTAGGGACGAACTTCAGTCCTTCAATGTAACATTGCCAGAGGGAATAAAGCTCCATACTATTGAAGATATGAATGTCATGCTGCAGTTCTTCCATGATATCAGAGAAATTATACACTTCAATCAACAATTCCTCAATAAAGCTATTATTCTCGATGTTCAGTGGTTTGCAGATGCATTTAAAAATGTAATAACAGATAAAAACCATGCAAAAGAAGATTTATTCGAATTTGCCTCAGAATGGGACAAATTCAATGAAACTGGAGAGTTAGATGAAACTCTCCTATCTGCTATATGGAGAATGAACAACAATGGCTACATCAAACATAAAGATGACATCTTGCTATACATGGAAAAGCTAGGACTCTTAGCTAAAATGAGTGGCAATAAATGGTATGTTCCCTGTATGAACAAAATGCAATTTCCAGTGACCTACTTTTCATCATACCCTGTCTCCTCTATCCTTTACTATACGTTTGATTTTCTTCCTGTGGAAATTTTCCATCGTCTTGTAGCAACCTGCATGCAGATTCCTTGGGAGATTTTTTCAGATGAAGATCGCGGATGCGTTTACCAGACTGCAGCTATTTTTGTGTTTCATGACCATCACCATAATATTCTGCTTGGCATGACTCAAACAGAAATTCAATTGCAGGTGTTTGTTGTGGAGGGAGAAGTTGATGTTTTAACTTGTCACCAGATTAGAGAAAACATTGAGAGTATATTACACAATCTCTCTAACACATTCCAAAAAAATGCTGAATTTCAAGTTGGGTTCAAATGCAAGCCTTCTGGATTTTGTGACAGGAAAGAAAGTGCTGTCATAAAGGAATCAGAGTTTACAAAAGCAATTTTTCAGTGTCCTTCCTGTCCGGCAAACAAAAAGCATCCCATTAACACAAAAGACATCACAAAATATTGGAAACAGGTACTTCAGAATATGATAAATTTCATAAAAAAATACAAATTATGCCACACAATTTTAGAATTATGTAACTTAGAATAATTTATGTCATTAGAGAGAATTTTTGAAACAGACACTATCAAATATTCCTCCCCAGAGTGACGTGGCCATGTTAATTATTTTTTTACACTCCGGTTTTGTTTATTCATATTCTGGTCAGTTATGGGTCTTGGGGGTTGAACCAAAGTGTTTTTAAATTTTCTTCTTGAGATTAAGAAATTAAAAAGTTTTAAAGTGAGCATTATGGCACTTTAACCTCCTGTGTTCATGTTATAGATTAACAAATATGGTATAAAGCTAGATTTTAAAAAAATCAGGATTCTATCTATGGTATTTTTAACCTTGAGAACATGCCTTGAAAATGTTTGATACCTCTTTAACTTAAGGGTTCAAAGACAAAAGGCTTAAAGCAATGTAGTTTTGGTGTGAAAATGACCCCCCCCCCCCCCTTCGGAAAGTACAAGAACAATAAGAAGAACTAGATGAGATCTCGTTGCGAGCAACGAGTAGGTCTTCCGTCCGATTTTTTGATAAGATGAGGTATGATTTTGACTATGATCTTTGTTAAAAGATAATAATGTATAGACTTCCCTAATTAGATTTTATTGTTTTGATTTACAGAACATTATCAAAGAGCTATAAATGACATGCTTTGGCCCTTCTGAGCCCCTAGTTTGAGGGGTCAGCCCCTTTTCCTTCATATCAAATGAAAGGTCTTGTGATTTTGAAGACTTTTTGTTCAACAACTATTCAGAGATTTCTTTTCGTTATGGAGATATGCTGAATTGAAATATTTAGGGGCCACCCCTCCAAGTCCTTAATGGGGCCGTTTGACAAAAATTGAAAGGTTGCATATTGTTTAGAACATTATTCTGACCATCTTTTGTACAGCATTGCTTATCAAAATATTTCCCCTTTTCGAGATATAATGCGTCAAATATTTAGCATTCTTGCCCCTTGTGACCACTTATTACGTAACATATTATCAGAATCTTATCATATATTGTTGTAAATCGTTAAGACAAGCATCTTCGCTTCAGTAATGTATTACAAAATATCGATCGTTCAAGAGTTATACATAAAAGACTTTTGGCCCCTCTGAGCCCCTAATTTAAGGGATCAGCCCTTTTTTCTTGATATCAAATGAAAGGTCTTGTGATTTTAAAGACTTTTTGTTCAACAATTATTCAGAAATTTATTCTCGTTTTCGAGATATGCTGAATTGAAATATTTAGGGGCCAGCCCTTCAAGTCCTTAATGGGACCGTTTTGCAAAAATTAAAAGGTTGCATATTGTTTAGAACATTATTCTAAACATTTTTTGTTCACTACTGCTTATCAAATTATTCCCCCTTTATGAGATAAAAGGCATCGAAGATTTAGCATTCTGGCCCCTTTTGGTCCCTTATTACGTAACATATGATCAAAATTTTAAAACATATAGTTGCAAATTGTTAAGATGAGCATTTTTGCTTCAGATCTCGTTGCGAGCAACGAGTAGGTCTTCCGTCCGATTTTTCGATAAGATGAGATATTATTTTGACTATGATCATTGTTAAAGGATAATAATATATAGACTTCCCTAATTAGATTTCATTCTTTTGATTTATGTAACATTATCAAAGAGCTATAGATGACATGCTTCTGGCCCCTCAGAGCCCAAAATTTAAGGGGTCAGCCCCTTTTCCTTCATATCAAATGAAAGGTCTTGTGATTTTGAAGACTTTTTGTTCAACAACTATTCAGAGATTTCTTTTCGTTGTGGAGATATGCCCCTAATTTGAGGGGTCATCCCCTTTTTCTTGATATCAAATGAAAGGTTTTGTGATTTTGAAGACTTTTTGTTCAACAACTATTGAGAAATTTATTTTCGTTTTCGAGATATGCTGAATTGAAATATTTAGGGGCCAGCCCTTCAAGTCCTTAATGGGGCTGTTTTGCAAAATTTGAAAGGTTGCATATTGTTTAGAACATTATTCTTAACATCTTCTGTTCACTATTGCTTATCAAAATATTCCCCCTTTATGAAATATAAAGCATCGAAGATTTAGCATTCTGGCCCCTTTTGGCCCCTTATTACGTAACATATTATCAACATTTTAAAACATATAGTTGCAAATCGTTAGGATAAGCATCTTTGCTTTAGTAATGTATTACAAAATATTGATCGTTCAAGAGTTATACTTGAAAGAGTTTTGACCCCTCTGAGCCCCTAATTTGAGGGTCCAGCCCCTTTTTCTTGATGTAAAATGAAAGGTTTTGTGATTTGAAAGACTTTTTGTTCAACAACTATTGAGAAATTTATTTTCGTTTTCGAGATATGCTGAATTGAAATATTTAGGGACCAGCCCTTCAAGTCCTTAATGGGGCTGTTCTGCAAAATTTGAAAGGTTGCATATTGTTTAGAACATTATTCTTAACATCTTCTGTTCACTATTGCTTATCAAAATATTCCCCCTTTATGAAATATAAAGCATCGAAGATTAAGCATTCTGGCCCCTTTTGGCCCCTTATTACGTAACATATGATCAAAATTTTAAAACATAAAGTTGCAAATCGTTAAGATAAACATTTTTGCTTAATTAATAACAAAATATTGATCGTTCAAGAGTTATACTTGAAAGAGTTTTGGCCCCTCTGAGCCCCTAATTTGAGGGACCAGCCTTTTTTTCTTGATATCAAATGAAAGGTCTTGTCATTTTGAAGATTTTTTGTTCAACAATTATTCAGAAATTTATTCTCGTTTTCGAGATATGCTGAATTGAAATATTTAGGTTCCAGCCCCTCAAGTCCTTAATGGGGCAGTTTTGCAAAAATTGAAAGGTTGCATATAGTTTAAACCAATATTCTGACCATCTTTTGTTCAGTATTGCTTATCAAAATATTCTCTCTTTTCGAGATAAAAAGCGTCAAAGATTTAGCATTCTGGCCCCTTCTGGCCCCTTATTACGTAATATATGATAAAATTTTAAAACATATAGTTGCAAATCGTTAAGATGAACATTTTTGCTTCAGTAATTTATAACAAAATTTGGGTCGTTCAAAAGTTATATATGAAAGATTTTTGGCCCCTCTGAGCCCCTAATTTGAGGGATCAGCCCCTTTTTCTTGATATCAAATGAAACGTCTTGTCATTTTGTGCATCTTTTGTAATATATGTTTTAACAAAATATTTACAGGTAAAAAGATATAAAAGAAAACGTGTCACATTTTGCGAGATGCTTGTGAGCCTATTTTTCGAGCCCAGGCGAGCTTCATCGTCTTTTGAGCTGGAAACATATAGATGCGAAATGGCACATCTACAATCTTTCCTCTATCTTCACTGAAAATCTTATCCCTTTATCTCTATTCGTTTAAGAGAACACCCCAGGAAAAGCCGACCCTCTAAAAATCAGAAAATCGTCCATATCTCACGACCGGAAGTGACGTCATCAAAAAAACAAAAAAACCTATCAAGATCAGTTGAATATCTTTCTGAGAAATCGCGTGCACAAAATCGGTTGGAAGAAAAATAATAATAACTAGATTAGATCTCGTTGCGAGCAACGAGTAGGTCTTCCGTTAGATTTGGGAAATTCTGATTACAAGAAAGTAGAACAACTTCAAATGAAAAAAAATATTCATATCAATTCTTCAAAATATGCTTAGCAACACATGAAAGAGTAAAATCTATCAATTTCAAACAACTTCCGGTCTTTTATATTCACTTCCGGTATGACCGGAAGTACTCAAAATGACTTTTAACTCTTCACTGAGTGTGGAGGAGTCATCCCTCAAAGTTTCGAAGAAAAATGAGCATTTTCTCGTCTACTTCCGGTTTGGAAGAAATAACTTCCGGTGGAAATAGTATGACTTGAAACAGTCTATTTGCCTCTAATATCTCTATTGTAAACATTTAAAAAAAGAAAAAAAAATAAAAATTTGCATTTTTTTAAACTACTTCCGGTGGACAACGGACGTCACGGCAACATACACTTATCAAGAAATTCAAATCTACTAGTCACAATCTATCATCCCTGAAAGTTTCAAGACTCAATCTGAAAGCGTTTTTGAGAACACTTTCGGACAAAATGCAACTTTAAAAAAAGAAAATTGACCGTATCTCGCGACCGGAAGTGACGACGGCAAAATAAAAAAAAATCGCCCTAAGTTCAGATGATTTGCCATCATTGCTGAAAGTTTCATGAAAATTTATCGAGGCGTTCTCGAGAAATCGCCTGCACAAAATCGGTAAGAAAAAAAAAAAATAATAATAGTGGAAAAGAAACAACAGAATCAGTAGAAGGTCTTCCGTTGGAAACGGAAGACCTTAATAATAATAATAATAACTAGACGAGGTTGTTGCAAAGCAACAAATAAGTCTTCCGTCTAAATTTTAAGGAGATGAGATAGAGTTCGGGAGACATCTACGGTCATATGAGCAAGAATGAGCCATTTACCATTACTTCCGGTGTGACCGGAAGTGACGTCATTTTGACGACTTTTGATGATCTTCTTAGCTGCTACTTGTCATTTTGAACAACTTTGCTTCTATGATGCTATACAAATTCTCAATACATTTTGAGATATCAGGAAAACACTTTTGGCCCCTATAGCTCCCTAATTTTAGGGGCCAGCCCCTTATTGTTGATATCTTTTGAAAGATCGTATCATTCTACACTACTTTTGCTCTATATGTTTTAACAAAATATTTACAGGTAAAAAGATATTGTAGAAAAAGTGTTAGAAATTTTAAAAGTCCCGATAGGACTTTTTTCGGGCCATAGCGAACGACGAAGTGCGGCACTTCCCGGGAAAGAGAAATGCGCATGTCACATCTACACATGTTGCTCTATCATCGCCGAAAAATGTCACGTTTCTGTCTAGAAGCGCTTTTGAAAAAACTGCTGGACAAAGTGACCCTCCGAAATCACTAAATGGCGGAAAGCTCGGAACCGGAAGTGACGTCATCAAAACAAAAAATAT